GTGTGTGTGTGTGTGTGTGTGTGTGTGTGTGTGTGTGTGTGTGTGTGTGTGTGTGTGTGTGTGTGTGTGTGTGTGTGTGTGTGTGTGTGTGTGTGTCTGTGTGTTGTGGTTTTGTGTGGTGTTGAGCACGCTTTTAACACCCAATATTGGTGCTCTCCATCTTACACAAGCACCAAACTACAAGCTCAGCTGCTCTTGCACCTGGCTGCTGTCTCCGCCGTATTCTGGCTGACCCCAGGTCACAACAGCCCCAGATGCAAGAATGGCTGCAAAAGAAAAGCGAGTTGCTTGGATGTGCTGGACGTTCCTCGGCTGCTCTTGCACCTGGCTGCTGTCTCCGCCGCCTCCTGGATTGCCCCAGGTCACAACAGCCCCAGATTCAAGAATGGCAGCAAAGGCATAATCAGTTGCTTGGATGTGCTGGACGCTCCTCAGATGCTCTTGCACCTGGCTGCTGTCTCCGCCGTATTCTGGATGGCCCCAGGTCACAACAGCCCCAGATTCAAGAATGGCTGCAAAAGCAAAGCGAGTTGCTTGGATGTGCTGGACGTTCCTCGGCTGCTCTTGCACCTGGCTGCTGTCTCCGCCTTCCGCTGAATCACCCCAGGTCACAACAGCCCCAGATTCAAGAATGGCTGCAAAAGCATCGTCATTTGCTTGGATGTGTTTCACGTTCCTCAGCTGCTCTTGCACCTGGCCGCTGTCTCCGCCGTATTCTGGATGACCCCAGGTCACAACAGCCCCAGATTCAAGAATTGTTGCAAAAGCAAAGCGAGTTGCTTGGATGTGCTGGACGCTCCTCAGCTGCTCTTGCACCTGGCCGCTGTCTCCGCCGTATTCTGGATAACCCCAGGTCACAACAGCCCCAGATTCAAGAATGGCAGCAAAAGCATCCTCATTTGCTTGGATGTGTTTCACGTTCCTCAGCTGCTCTTGCACCTGGCTGCTGTCTCCGCCGTATTCTGGCTGACCCCAGGTCACAACAGCCCCAGATTCAAGAATGGCTGCAAAAGCACCAGCACGAGTTGCTTGGATGTGCTGGACGTTCCTCAGCTGCTCTTGCACCTGGCTGCTGTCTCCGCCGCCTCCTGGATCGCCCCAGGTCACAACAGCCCCAGATTCAAGAATGGCAGCAAAGGCATAATCAGTTGCTTGGATGTGCTGGACGCTCCTCAGATGCTCTTGCACCTGGCTGCTGTCTCCGCCGTATTCTGGATGACCCCAGGTCACAACAGCCCCAGATTCAAGAATGGCTGCAAAAGCACCCTCATTTGCTTGGATGTGATGGACGTTCCTCAGCTGCTCCTTCACCCGGCTGCTGTCTCCGCCCCGACCCCAGGTGACAACCTGGCACCCCTGGCCATAGAAGGCAAATGCCCGATGGGTGGCAGCCAGTTTGCCCAGCTCCACAACCGCAATCACTACCTCCCCATCTCGCAACCCAGCCTCGCTCAGCGTGGCCTTCAAATCGAGCTGCCGGCCATTCGCAGTGAGCCTCAAGCGGCGCTGGAAATGCTGCTGCGCTGCTGCCTTCAGCTGGCTGACGGGCGTCTCCGGTGAGACTTCTACGGAGAACCCAGCTCCGCTGGGCAAGTGAACATCCACCTTCATGGCGCAGGAAGGTTCCTCTGGGCACATTCAAGCTAGCAAACACCAACCTGAGACGCAAGACTATAGAGGTTAGAATAAGGGTACTGTTTTTTCATGTGACTGGAGACTCAAAATCATGTGAATTGAGGAATCCCAATCACGCGAGCCCGCCGACAAAGCCAGACACAGCTGCAACAGAGCCTGTGACAGCCAATTCATGTGACAAACACCTGCCATGCAAGCTGAACCCACCAACCGTACTCCGAATTGCTGATTTGGAGCCCGGTGTTTCGGTGGTTTCCCATTTACCCTCCGCAAAAGCGAGGGGTAATCCAAAATCCAAGCGTTTATTATCTATGGACAAAAACGCAAAACACGCTATGGATAGAGTCTGAAATAGACCACCAATCCTAACTGGTGGGGGTGTTTGTCCGGCGGTAGTCTGCGTTTTCTTTCGGACATGGCTTCCCTTGCGCATGATTCGATCATTGGTCTCCGAATCGGATTGGATACCTGATTGAACATCCAATCTTCAGTTCAGTCGCACCCAAAGCTTTTTACCGGGCCTTTGCTGAAACAAAAATGTTTGTTCCAGATGAGACAATCAATCATATACTGTTCTTGCTGGAAACGAAAAGCACGATAAAGTGGTTGCACAAATCAACAAAAAATCACCTAAAAACCACTCACATAACATGTGCAAAGCAAGCATCAAAAACAGGACAAGAAGAGACCAAATTCACTAACCAGAAGTGTTCAAGCCTTTGGTTCCCTTCAATAACAAACAAGGATACATCGCGTTTCCTGAGTACAAAACGGTTCTCTCAAGTCCGAGTCCTGGTTTTCAGGGAGTGAGTTGTGTCTTTATCTAGGATTTGGACCGAACCGAAAACTTGGTTGACGTCGGAAGCGAAGATTTAAAAAATAGCAGCTAAGTGGTTGGAATTCAACCACTGAACCACCATAAGCAAAGATGTAAAGAGTGTTTCCCAACAACAACCATGTTAACATGAGCGATTTGTTTCCTTCTGGCCTCTCCTTTTCGCCCAATCCAGTTTCACGCCTCCCGAATCGATCCCCACGAGACGAGCCCCGGGGGTCCAGGTTGCGCCGGGGCTTCGCGGGCAGCTGCTGGAGCAGCTGCCGGCCGCGCTCCTCGCGGGGTGGATTTTCCGGCGGTTCCTTTGAGACACTTTTTGCCGGGTAACCCGAATCCTTCCCCCCCCCCCAAAAAAAAAGGCTCCGGTCCCAGGGTTGTCAAGGGCCTGCTTGAGACTAGGTTCCAGCGATGAGTTCCTTTTAAAACCAACAAGGGAAAACAAAGATATATCCATTTGAGCAAATGGAGGCAATCCACTACGCTGGAAGAAGAGGACCCCAGCAAAAAGCGAGATCTGTTTTTCCCTGGTTCGTGGAAAACAAAGGGACCCCAAAAAAGCAAAAAAGGAAAGAAGGGGGAGCTAATTCTGGGGAAGTCCATTCTAAACCCAGGGATCCGAATCTTTTCCGAAAGCCATCAGAACCCCAGGGGAAGCAGCAATCGGTTTCTGAAAAGAATGATGGTTGAAAAGCATGGGGAATCAACCCCTAGAGTAGTTCGTGAAGTTCGGGGCTGTTGCCGAAGTTTGGTTGGTGAATTCCCTTAGGTGGGTTCCCTAAACAATCAGCAACCCAAATCTATGCTTGGCGAATTCCCCGTTTTTAAGTTGGTAGTTTGAGTTGGTTCAGGTGGGAGAAAAAATAATGGGCCAAATTTCAGAGCTGATGGAACCCTGCGAAAAGAGATTCCAAGTGCACCAAAGGTCAGATACTTCCATGTGCGTTTAACACCAAAATGAGAACTTGTTTCCAGTGACACATCCCTTTTAAAACCAAGAGGGGAAATAATAAAACAAAGTAATAGTCTTAAGCAAATGGAAGGTTGGGAATACCGCCGCGGTTCTCAAAACTTTCAAGAAAAAAAGCTCGGCTTTGCGCCACTAACAAGGGACGTGGAACCGGTGGGCGCCGTGGTTACAGCCAAACCAGTCGTCTCATTTCCTACCTATTGCACCAGCAAGTTCAACGGGGGCAGGGTATTTGGCTGTGGCTCAAAACCTGGCACCCAAAATGGGTTTCCCTGGTAAGTGGACCAGCAATATTTGGCTGTGGCTCAAAAACCGGCACCCTAAATGGGTTTGCCTGGTAAGTGGAAACATGGACCAAAACCTACGTTACCCCAGCTATATAATTTTGAGCCACATCCATTTCAGGGAGGTCTGCGTGGTTCAAAAGGTCAAACTCATGTTCAACCAAACAGTGGCTGCATGGTTCATCTGCCTGGTCGGAAACTCCCATGTTGCAACCATACCCCTTACTCCAAATACCTGCTTTTTCTAAAGTATTTTTTTTGAAAACCTGGTTTTCCATGGTAAATACCTCCTTTTTTAGTAGAGGGTCGACATGACACCCTAAAAAAAGTGGGTATTGGGTGTAAGGGGTAGGGGTCCCTTTGGAAAAAACCCATTGCCCTGGTTTAGATGGGGCATAAGACCAATCTGGACAGTGGAATGCAGCTATTACTAACCAAACTAGCCTAAACAGGGCAGCTATGCTGACCCAGGATTGATAACCGGTTCTAGTCAAAGGGGGGTGGCCCCTCCAAAGTTGGATAAATCCCCCACCCCACCCCACCCCACACCCCACACCCCACCTTCCACCCCCCACCCCCCAACCCCCCAACCCACCCACCCCCCGGTCACCCGCCTACCCCCCGAAAGGTTTGCAGTTGTTACCACAACCGCTTCAAACAGGGGGAACGAAGGAGTCTGAACAATGACTAAACGACCAAACTCCAGTCCTTGAAGAATCGCAAATCCAAGGGATTTGCAAAGACATGTCCCATGTGGGTGGCAAGACACACCCCAACCGGAGAACCCATGTCTTTGCGGGCGCTTGGGGGATGTTTTTTTTGGGCATCACCTTTTGACTTGCTTGGGCCTTTGGGGGATGTTTGAGGCACCTTTTGAGTTGCCATCTTAGGTGTTCGGAAACGTCCGACAAGAGGATGCCTCTTGAAATACGCGGCTCATCCAAAGCATAAAGTGACATCTTTCAATCCAATTCAGAAACAAAATCAAACGGGAACAAAAAAAAAACACACTACCAAAAAAATCGAATCCAACCCTCTTCAGCGATTGTTTCTTTTGGAGCGAACGATCTGCGCTCGAAGCAAACAGTTTCCATCCAAGGCGCCCGGTCGAAGCGAAGCTCCCTCGAAGCGCCTCGCGGATACGATCGATTCGCCTTTCGTTTCGGCGAAGGATTGAAACCGGGAGTCTCCCTAAGGACCCCAAAAAAATGCTTGGTCACACCACCTGGAGTCTCCACAACCCTTAAAAAGCGTGGTTTTTGGACTCCCCAAAATAATGGCTGGTCATGGGCCCGTTTATATTTCGGGTGAGAAGGAGACTCCAAGCAGCGATCCCACCGGGGCCAATGCGGGAGTTTGGAATTCCGAATCCGTCGTCTCAAGGGGTTTGCACCACAAGACTGGAGGGGGGATGGCTCTTTTTTGTGGACGCCCCGAACCCGCCCAGGAAAAAGGTGGGAGACCAAAATGAGAACATGGGCTGAACAGGAAATGGCCCCCCAAAATGGGCTGAAGAGGACATGGACCATCCCAAAATTGGGCCGAGCGAAAAAACTCCCAGGTAGCCGCGCAAAATTGGGCCGGAAGGTTTCAATTCCTGGCATGGGACATTGCCGTTCCCGGCTTCTCTTTGACCTCCCAGAGGCTCCAATTCGATTGATTTCGGGCCTTCAAACTTGACCTGGTTTTGAGACCGGGTCCCAACCACCTCCTTTTGGGTGTCTAATGGACAGGTCGCGTCTTCCATTGAAAGCCGAAGCCAGGAGCCTCTGGGCTGAAGCAAAAGTCACCCCAAACATGACTCCACCCTCCAAGAGGGCTCCCTGAAGGTCCGAGGGGGGTCGGCCGGGGGTGAAGGTTCAAAGAGGTGAGCCTGGACAAGCCATACTGTGGATTGCGAAGTTCGTCCGCACCACGACATGAGGCCAAAATGGAACCCCCAAAAAAAAACAATGCTTGAGGTATCTTTCCGTTGGGGAATCGAAATAGAGAACCCGGTTGGGAATGTCTGAACGGTGGTGACAAATTTGGGGATTTCGATTTCACCACCCACAGGTTTGGACTGTTTTATGGCTGAACTGCGCGGGTTTCAGGAGCCTTCCTCGCAGGTTCCTGTTCGCTGCCATGGACTCCTTACCCCCCCGACCGGAGCTTGAAAAAAGAACCAACAAAAACGCGAGCGCGCGGCACCGTGCCTCCGGTTTTGGCACACGGTCATATCAACGGGTTTTTTGCCAGCAAGCAAGTGCGAGTCTTAAGATGGAAGACTCGCAAAAGGCGGTTCTTCATTTGATTCCCCCTCGAAATAGCACCACAAAGGGTGGATATCCTCAAACAACGACACCGAATGCCCGGGGGTTAGCTTAACTAATCATTGACCGATCATATACCATGATTCATACTTTTGGTCGACATTGAGCGGAACCCTTCTTGCTGATTCAAACCCACTCTGGTGTATCAAAGTGGGGATTCGGAGCCCTAAAATTGCAACCGGAAAAGGCTACCCGCCCATTTGCTGAAGTCCCCTTTAAAACATATGTGCAGTAGTGGATGCCCTTTAAAAGCGACGGGAGAATCATATCTCCAAGAGTGATGTCAGTCAAAAAGAAGAAAAACCACTTCAGCACATGGAAGTACCCTGAAAAAAGGGCAGACGAAACTGCCTGGACCCCCAAAAGACCCCCTTTTTATTGCCTTTGACCCAGGAAAAAGCGGTACTTTTCGCCGGAAAAAAGGAATCGGTCTTTTGGGGGTCCAGGTGAGCTGGCCGATCCACCCGAGCCTTTGTTCCCGATCCCCGATCCCCGATGGCCTTGCCCGGCGCGGTGGTAGTCGGAGTCCGCCGGGATCTCGGTTCAGAAGCCCCGTAACGCCGAGAACGGAATCCGCTGGACAGGGCGGTGGTTGACATGGAATCCACGACTCTGATACGTTGCAACTCGCCTCTAGTGTGTGAAATTCGGGTAATCCAAACACTAAACACCAGGGTTGTGGGACATGGAATCCACGACTCTGATACGTTGCAAAAAGGGCAAGCCCCAAAGACTAATCCCCCACACGGGGAGATGTCCTTGTATAACAGAAAATCCACGAATCTGATACGTTGCAAAAAGGGCTTCCCGAAGACTAAGCCCCCAACGGGGAGATTCCCAAAAGTATCGGACAGAAGTGGCTGGTAAAGCCCCGGGCAAGATCCCACAACCCTGGCACTGAACAGTTCCTTGAAGCTGGAAGAATTCGGACCCCAGCAAAAGACGTTTCAGGACCCCCCAAGAAAGCAACTGAGAAAGGGGAGCTAAATCTGGGGAAGATTCTGTGTCAAAACTTGCTCAGGGAATGAGACATGGAATGATATCCTTATAAACCATCCAACTCGTGTTTTCCTTAAGGGGACCCCTTCCCTACTGAGCAGCAGCAATAAAGTGGGAGTGGTTGTCAAAAACAGTGGGTAACCCCACAACGGGGGTTCCACCCCCTGGTGGATGGAAATAAGGCCCACACCCAAAAATTCGGATTTGGACCCCGAAAGATGCAAGCTTCCTTTCGGCGCTTGAAGCATCCCCCTATTCATACACTTGGGTTTATTAGTATGGGGTCAGCATTAATGCGAGAAACCAGGAGAAGTGAAAAACCATCCCACAAGAGAGATACCCACGAAAAGAGATTCCCAAAAGAGATTCCCACAAAAATCACCACATCCGTTTACGCCGTTTACGAAAAACCGATTGGATGCGTGTGCGTGCGCGTGCAAAAAAAAGAAACAGAGCTTGGGATTGTTGGCGAAGCTGGGGCACCTTCTTTGGCAAGAGCAGCCCATCACTTCCTGCGTGGATTGGCCAAAAAAATGTATTTTATCGCTAAAAAAGTCCAAACCTAAAAAGTGCAAAGTCCGAAACGGAACTCACGCATGAATCCACCAGATGGGGGCGACCTAAACGCATCCACCAAGGTCCTTCGAGGCAGAATGCTGATCTCATGTTAATCAACTCCAATTTAATTCATAGGGAGGTGTCCAACTGGGTTTCGTGGTTGGACTTTTGGACCACTTGAGGGGCCGAAACCACCCCCCTGTTCATAAACTGGGGTTGATTTATATGGGGTCAGCAATGCGAGAAACCAGGAGTGGGAAAAATCCCGCCGGCTCAGCACTGCCGATCAGAAAAACAAACAAGGCGTTTTGTGCGGGATGCCAGCGGTGAGTCCGCAGAATGGGTGTGTCTGTGGGAAACCCCTTTTGTTTGGTTTTGAGGGGCAACCAAAAGGAAACGCGCCTTTTTTGACTTGGTTGCTGTGCAAAAAGTTCAAACTTTGTGTGGGTCCAATGGAAAATCCACTCTCTCCCCAAAAGTTAAAAGTCACAGATCCAACCAAATAGCCGTAAAGTTGGGGTCCCCTAATTTCTTCCAAGAAAAAGGGTGGAAATACTGATGGACATACTCCTGCACCAGTTGGTAGGTGGCCTATCCCAATACGCATGAGTTCATCCATCCCAAGTGGTGCAGAATTTTGTCCATCCCCAGTAGGGTGGACATAGGCAAATGAGCACGTCAACTGCGCTGTCAACAGCCGAGGTGACTTCAGATTTGTCCCCGCCTTGTAACAGCGATGTGTTTCTGATGAATGGTACGCTCCAGCAAGGGCTGAAGTTTGAGTTCAAAGGAAGCCAGGCCAAGGTTCTCTCCAAAGATGACACCAAGTCACCGTTGAGAAACGGCGACCAAAGCAACCCTGTGTCTGACCTCTTGAGTTAGTCAACTATCCAAAATAAGTTTGAACTGTGTCAGTCTTCGATAAAACCACGAAGAAACCTGGCAGCAAAGAGTTCCGCAATGTCCAACTCAACCACCAACTTGGTCCAATTTCAGGGTACACTTCAAAAACCAAATGCTCCCTTCTGTTTCACAGTCACGAGGGGGAAAAAAACCAAAACTAGACCAAAAAGGGAGACCGCAAATCACGGGGGGGACAAGGGGAGCGCCCCCGCCGGAGGTCCGTCAAAACCCCAAACCCCAGCCTCTTCGGCCAGGACCTAGCGAGACGAAAAGCGAAGCATCGAGCGAGCGAGTCGCTCGAACCCTCGCCCCGGAAGCCTCGTGGCTTGGGCGACGACTCGTGGGGGCCTGGTCTTTAGGAGGGTTGCTCAGTAATTCTTTGGCCCCAGTTTGAGACAACCCCATACTAAAGTCCTAAATCACTGGAATTGGGT